CGGGCGCCTGTAGTCCCAGCTACTTGGGAGGCTGAGGCAGGAGACTCGCTTGAGCCCAGGAGTTGGAGGTTGCTGTGAGCTGTGATGTCACGGCACTCTACCCAGGGGGACAGCTTGAGGCTCTGTCTCAAAAAAGAAACTTCATTTTACTCCTATTATTTATCTGACTTTGGATAAGCCATTCAAACTCTGAGCCTCAGTTTGTGTTTCTGTGATGCCGGGATGATAGGATCTACCTTGCGAGGCTGTTTGTGTTACATGAAATACTGTATATGGTAATGCCAAGTGCCGTGTAAATTAATTCCGTTGAGGTCTCTGGAAACTGATTTGTTTTTAACCAGAAGCCCTCTTGAAATAATTTGGTAAAGATTTTTATTTTAAGTTTTGCTTTGCACTTCTATCCTGACTGATTTCTCTAAAGGCAGCATCCTCTGCTAGTGCTTATATGTGTTAATAGACTTTAACTATTATAAGTTAATGTTCAAGTATTACATGTATAGTTGTACTTAACGCTTATTGGCTTGGACAAACCAGCAGCCTCTGTTTATATGTGAATAGCAACATGAGTGTATAATATGAGATATTAAAGACACGATGAAGTTTGGTGTTGGAATGTAGTCCATGTTTCCTTAACTTAATTTTTACATATATCTGTAAAGATCCAAAAATAAATGACGCTACGCAGGAACCAGTTAACTGTACAAACTACACAGCTCATGGTAAGACTTGCAGTAACATGTCTTTAAATGTAATTTTTAAACATGCTTTTTAAAACCTATTTCATAGATCAATATATGATTACTAAAAGTAATAAGTGTGTTTTTTTCTTATGTTATAACATTATTTAGTTTTTAGAACAATTTAAAATTGGAGAACTAGCTAGAGGTTGTCAGTATTTCATTTTATTTATTTATTTGAAACAAGAGTTTCACTGTGTTGCCCTCAGTAGAGTGTTGTGGCATCACAGCTCACAGCAACCTCAAACTCTTGGGCTTAAGCAATTCTCATGCCTCAGCCTCCCAAGTAGCTGGGACTACAGGCCCCCACCATGACACCTGGCTATTTTGTTGTTGTTGTTGTTGTTGCAGTTGACATTGTTGTTTAGCTGGCTCAGGCCAGGTTGGAACCCACCAGTGGCACCATAACCACTGAGCCACAGGCGCCGAGCCTATATAGCTTTCTTGATGCTTCATACATTTATCATTTATTTTTGGTGAGAATATTAAAGATTTTCTCATCTAGGTACTTTTTCCAAAGTATGTTACATAAAGGTGCTTCTTTTCTTTTTTTGTTTTTAGGCAGAGTTTCACTATGTCACCCTCAGTAGAGTGCTGTGGTGTCACAGCTCACAGCAACCTCCAACTCTTGGGCTTAAGCGATTCTCTTGCCTCAGCCTCCCAAGTAGCTGGGACTACAAGCACCCTCCACAATGCCCGGCTATTTTTTTTTGTTGTTGGCAGCTGTCATTGTTTAGCAGGTCCAGGCTGGGTTCAAACCTGCCAAACTTGGTGCATGTGGCCAGTACTGTAACCACTGTGCTCTGGGTGCTGAGCCATCTTAAATGTTTTTTTTGCAGTTTTGGCCAGGGCTGGGTTTGAACTTGCCACTTCTGGCATATGGGGCCGGTGCCCTTCTCCTTTGAGCCACAGGCACCGTCCTTAAATGTTTTAATTACTCAAAAAAGCATGAAATGGACAGTGCCTGTGGCTCAAAGGAGAAGGGTGCCGGCCCCATATAACAGAGGTGGCAGGTTCAAACTCAGCCCTGGCCAAAAACTGAAAAAGGACCTGAAATGAGACTGTTGATCCAGTAAGGCCCAGTGAGGAGCTATCGGACCCTTATTCTGTGCTTGTACCCTGTACTCAGGCACAGCCAAGTGTGAGCACAGTAGGGTGAGGATTTTAAGTATGCGTCAGTATTTTCTTAGGTGTTTTAATAATGGATAACACTGTGTCTCATGATTTGGAGATGGTTGTGTTCTAAAATAGTGTAATGTCAGATTAAAATTAATAAATTGTAGTCTGTTGAGTCTTCTAAGGGAGCATATGTTGCAGGGGGAGGCTGGTAGATGTTAGCTATTAGCATTCTTTTTTTTCCTTTTTTTTTTTTTTTGACAGAGTCTCACCGCGTTACCCTGGGTAGAGTGCTGTGGCATCATAGCTCACAACAAACTCAAACTCCTGGGCTTAAACGATTCTCTTGCTTCAGCCTCCCAATAGCTGGGACTACAGGTGTCCGCCACACCTGGTATTTTTTTTGTTGCAGTTGGCCCTGGCTGGGTTCGAACCCGCCAGCCTCAGTGTATGTGACTGGCTCTGTAAGCACTGTGGTATGGGCACTGAGCTTTTTTTCCCCCTTTTTAATCAACACAAAATTGTACATATTTATGGGGTCCATTGTGATGTTTGATACATGTATATATTGTGTAGTAACTAATTTAGGATATTTAGCATATCCATCACCTAATACATTTGTCATTTATTTTTGGTGGGACTATTTAAAATTTTCTCTCTTAGGTACTTTGAAATATGCAATACAGTATTGTTAACCATAGTCACCCTACTGTGCTATAGAACCCCAGAAATTATTTCTTCTGTCTATAACTCTGTACCCCTTGACAGTCCCTACTCCCTCCACCCTCCCCTAGCCTCTGCCAGCCCCAGCACCCCTCCCACCATTAGGCCTGTCAGGAATTGGGCGGCACAGCAGGAGGTAGATGGCAGAGGTCACAAAGTTTCATCTGTGTTTATAGCTGCTACCTACACCTGCATCATGGCCTGTGCTCTGCCTCCTGTCAGATCAGCAGGGGTGTTAGGTCCTCATAGGAGTGTGAACCCTCCTGGAAACAGCACATGCGAGGGATCTAGGTTGTGGGCTTCTCAAGAGGACCTGACGCTGTATGATGTGAGGCAGAGACGCAATGTGCTGGCATCATCCTGAATCCTCCCCCACCCCCCACACACTCTGACCTTGGAAAAATGGACTTCTGTGAAAGTGAGTGGTCCTTGGAGACTGCTGCACTATCCTATCTCTACTTCTATGAGATCAGCTTCTTTAGATTCCTCATACCAGTGAGATGGGGCACTATTTGTCTTTCTGTACCTGGCTTATTTAATATAATGTCCTTCAGGTTCATCTCCATTATTGCAAATGACAGGACTTCATTCTTTTTGTAACTAAATATATTTAGAGTTCCTGTTTGCCATGGCATAATGGTGGTGATTAAGTAGTAGTATTTGGAGAAACAAAGCACCTATTAAGAGTATACTGATTTTTTTTTTTTAAACTTTATTTTTTATTATTTTTTGTTGTTGCTGTTGCTGCAGTTTTGCCATGGTTGAGTTTGAACTCACCACCCTCGGTATATGGGGCTGACACCCTACTCACTGTGCCACAGGCACCACCCTATACTGATGTTTTTTAACATACTAGACTCGAAATAAGCTCACATTGATGTTTATGTTATAAGTAAATGCTGTTCTTAAAGGAAATCAGAGGAATTACATTTGTTACAGAAAAAAACTTTCCGGTTTTTCAAAAGTAATGTATATTCAAATATATTTTTGAAAGCAGTGGCCTAGCATGGTGGCTCCTGCCTGTAATCCTAGCATTTTGGAAGGTCCAGGTGGGTGGATTGCTTTTCGAGACCAGCTGGAGCAAAAGTTAGACCCCACCTCTACTAAAATGGAAAAACTGAGGCAAGAGGATCGCTTCAGCCCAAGTTGGAGGTTGCTGTGAGCTATGATGCCACAGCACTCTACCCAGGGAGATAGGTTGAGACTCTGGGGTGGATGGACCGGGGGAAGCAAATCTTTTAACTTTATATCTTTATATTTTACTGTGCTGTTAAAAGAGGTATTTGAAAATAAGTTGTATTAGCCCAATTCATAATTGCTAAGTCATGGAAGAAGCCCAAGTGCCCATCGACCCCTGAATGGATTAATAAATTGTGGTATATGTACACCATGGAATATTATGCAGCCTTAAAAAAGATGGAGACTTTACCTCTT